TGTGTGTGTGTGTGTGTGTGTGCGTGCGTGTGTGTGAGTGGATGGGTGTGTGTTTTGTTGTGTTGAGGTCTTTTTTATTAGAGTTTAGTGGCATTTGCAACACAATAAGGTCATATAAGTGCCGAAGATTAGAGGTGTTACAAGAGAGTAACAAACATTCTATACGAGAAGGAGGAGAGTTAAGGACAATAGATGTTTGATATGGAAAAAGGAGCTAACCACACTAGAGCACCCGCCAACCACCCAATGTGTGTGTGTGCGTGTGTGTGTGTGAGTGTGTGTGTGTGAGTGTGTGTGTGTGTGTTTTTATTTGTGTGTGCATGTATGCGTGTGTGTGTGTGCGTGTGTGTGTATGTGTGAATGTTTGGGTATGTGAGTGTGTTTGTATTGGTGCGTGTGAGTGTGTGTGTGAGTGTGTGTGTATGTGTGTGAGTGTGTGTGTATGTGTGTGTGAGTGTGTGTTTTTGTGTGTGTATGTGTGTGTGTTTGTATTGGTGTGTGAGTGTGTGTGTGCGTGTGTATGTGTATGTGTGTGTAGGTGTATGTGTGTATGTGTGTGTGTGTGTGTGTGTGTGTGTGTGGCGTGCGGACGCTCGTGTGTGTATGAACGATCACGTACACAATGAATCATCGTATGAATAGAATACAACAAAAATTACAGTGTCATTGTGCTATTTAAAAACTCAAAGGAGGGGAGAGGGAGGAGAGAGGATGGGGAGGAAGGGAGAGGGAGGAGAGGGGATGGGGAGGAAGGGAGAGGGAGGAGAGGGGATGGGGAGGAAGGGAGACGGGGGGCGTGGTCGTTAGTACAAATGATTGTCTTGGACAGTCGATCGTTAGAAGAGGTTCAACTGCAAAAGTCAAAATAGCCACTGGTTTCACTTAGAATGTCGCCATATCGCTACCCAAGAATTACAAAGTTCTATCTGCTTAGTACCTAGTTTTGATAAATTTGACGCCAACATTTTTATTTTGAGTTTCACATTATGTCCAGTTTTTTCGAATGCAATTCTTTGAACATTTGGATAACGTTTCCGAATAATCTTACGATTTTGATAGAGGAGATAAATTATTAGGTTTCTGACCTCATTGTCTTAGTAACTCAAAACAGTCAACGATGTCAGAAGGAATTTTGTAATTCAAATGTAACGATAAGTGTTTCTCATGTTTATCACAGCAATTTAGAAGGTGTGAAGTTATCGTTGGGTAGAGCGTAAGCATTGAAAAATGTGTTGGGGTTTCAGACTGAGGCAAAAGGCCTATACTAGTGAGTGGATTCTGAGGGGTGGAGAGACGTAGGGAGGGGAGGGGGAGGCTGCAACAGAGGAGAAAGACGGTGGAGAAAGGAATGACAGGAAGGACACGGGAGGGTGGGGGAGGGAGGAGCCGGATGACAAAGCGAGGGGAAATGAATAAGAGACAGATAGACAGTGGGAGAGTGATAAAGATGTGAGAGGGATAGCGATAGAGGAGTGAGATAGATAGATAGATAGAGAGACGGAGAGTGGCCGAACGAGAGTGATAGAGATACCAAATAAGAGAGATACACAGACAGTCAGACAGACAGACAGACAGACAGACAGACAGACAGACAGACAGACAGACAGACAGACAGACAGACAGACAGACAGACAGGGGGAGGGGGAAGATCGGGATCGAGGGGAAGGAGTGTCTGTGTGTATGAGTGAGAGAAAGAGAGCCAAGGAAAGATTGGGAGAGAAATAGAGAGGGAGAGAGAGAGACAGTGACAATGAGAGACAGTGAGAGATAGGCAGTTTGAGAAAGAGAGAGAGACAGAGACGGTGAGAGAGAGACTGTGAGAGAAAGACACAGAGAGAGAGAGACCGAGAGACAGAGAGACAAAAAAAAGAGAGAGCGCAAAGGCAAGAGAGAAAAAGACAGACAGACAGACAGACAGACAGACAGACAGACAAACACACAAACACACACACACACAGAGACAGACAGACACAGACAGACAGACAGACAGACAGACAGACAGACAGACAGACAGACAGACAGACAGACAGACAGACAGACAGACAGACAGACAGCGTGTCA